GATGTTATTCACGTTCAGCTGGCCCCTTGTGGGAAGTGACTCTGATATGGAATGTATGCATGCGACAACTTTCCAAGTGATTCTGCAAAGACGCTTTTTTCGCAGCGCCTTTTCCCAGCATATTATCAAAAATGCATATCAGGAATTTTGTATTAACATACTGCGCGCTATTCATTGTCTTCAGTCGAAAAGGAACGACCAAGAAATGAAAGAAAAGCTTTGTGGGAAAAAGAAACAAGCTTCTCAGGGACTAGCTCCGAGTCTATCGACGTCTCCGTCCCATTCTCCGCCAATTAATTTTTAGTTTCCCACTTATCCACAATTGCCAATTTTTAGTCAGATAATTTCGAAGTAAACCGTAGATATTTTTAGATGCAAAATTTTCGAGGAAAAATTATTTACTGAATTCGGTTTCTGCATGCAGTCATATACGATGAAGTTAGATCATTAAACTGAACTGCCGATAAATGCAAGCTATGTCTAGACTTCACTGAATTTGCTTTTCTCCCTTCCTCCCCTTCAGTCGGTGCGAAAACTGTTGCATTGTTTTTAAAACTTGGGCGTTGGAAAAAATTCTATCTTTGCCATTGGAAAAAAGTCTATGAAGGCACAGAATTCACAACAATCTTAATTTCCACTTTCCATCTGTTAAAAAAAATAAGTGACGTTTTTCTAGAGATGCTCTTCGCATTGTCTCTAGCTTTGTTCCTGCCAAAGACATTAAAATCACACGATATTCCGGATCAAAAAGTGAAGTAATTTTACAAGGTTCAGTGTTTTTGCCTACAAAATAAAGGATAAATATAAATAAATTTAACTAAGAGTAAAATATGACTAGGATTGTAAAATTGCAGATAAAATTATATAACAAAGATTGGTAAATTGCAAGTAAAATTATATAATTAAGAGTGGAAAATTAATTTATTTGCAAAATTCAGACAACAACCGGTCAAGACCTGAGCAATTCCCGCATGATACGTTTATTTTTCACACAGGACGTCAAGCGTCCGGTTAAAAAAAATACATTAGTTGAATTCTTGCAGTGTGGTTACCACTTCTGTCCTAGTCATATCCTGATCATCAAGATTTTTGGTGACTATCCGAGGTTAAACAATTGTTGATTGAAAAAAAAAAAGAACCTTTGCAGTGGGAACGAAAAGCTGCACTTCACCGGAGAGCAGTAGATACCAGTAGAAGATACGATCGCCACTTTGGAATACTAAAACCAATAACAGTGGCATTACGCTCAAATGATAACAACGAGTTTGCTCATGCGCCTAATTCGAAAAAGGCAGAAAACGGAAAACGCAACGAGAATTAAGATTAACTATTTCATGCAGATGGATTGATTCACTGAAATATCACTTCTTCTGGCGTACCAATCAACATAAACAGCGATGGCCGCAACAAAATCCGCTATAAGTACGGATTTCTAAGTGTTCTTGTGCTGCACTTACAATGCGAAAACCCGTCAAGATGAGGTTCTATATATTATATATGCTAAAAATACCGTAACCGCACCGGCTATTAGCGTGGATATTCTCTGCTAGTGATGTTACTAAGGATGCTCACAAATGCCCTCGATTGCCCGATTA